CCCCCCCCCCCCCCCCCGCCAAATAGCGATAGCGGGCGTGCCAGAAGCTCGGCCTGCTCAGGTTGACAAGCCTCCCGCGGCCGGTCTTCCACGGAAGGCTGGATGTGGTTTCTTTGACCTGTTTCTCCATCGGAAGCTCTGCACTTGCGTTCGACTGCGCTCGGCTTCGTGCCGAGAGTGGCGAGTGGCTTCGGACATGAGCCTGTGACATTTGTTGATGGTTTCGATGCTTCCAGACGGGCTTCGGGGCTGATTGGACCAGCTTCGGATTCCTTGGGTGAAACATCTCGCGACCTTGCTGCTGCAAGGCGATGAACCGATTCCGCAATGCGTGCTTGTGCTCAGCATTGATACAGCAGCCTCGGGACACTTCGATTTGCCGCTTCCTCCAGGAGTATTCAGATTGTCTGATGTTAGGATGCGAGCCATGTCCGGGGCGCGCCTGGCTGGGATCCCGGCATGGGTAGTTTGTGGTGCCTCGTGTCACGGAGGCATCTGCGTTTCCCTAGTGGCCCTCTAGTGCCCATCCTAGAAGTACTCACAGGGCGATGAGCTGGACACCGGAGCAGCCACCCATTCGCTTGCGGAGACTCTCCCGGCAGAGGCCTGGGTGTAAGGGGGTTGTTGAAGGCTCGGGACATGCCGGGCTTGCTCCAGGGGACACGTCAACGATCGTCAATGTGATGTTGAACTGGAGCAGATTCAATGCAAGAGTATGTTGCTGCTTGGTCTGTAAAGTGTCTACACTAGACCAGCCACCGATCCTCAGATTTCCGAGGAACTGGATACCTAAACGGTGCAAGTGCCAACTGCAGTGTCCTACAGTGCAGCCTGTGATGCTTGGATCCTTGAACTTTGGCATCCTTTGGGTCGGCTGGTGAGTGATCTGAAAGCAAAGTGTATGCTCACTTTACACGAAGATCTCACATCTTTCCTGAGAAGTGAACCTTTGCCGCAGGGCTGGGGCCATGTGCCCATGGCTCGGCTGCTACAGCGTGCCCAGACCAACTGCTCTGACACGTTGAGTCCAAACTTTGCAGGCTGAGAAAAGGAGACGCTCGCCAACAGGAGCCGCCTCCGAGCTTAGAAGGCTTAGATGGATGTCGTCTTGAAATATGTCTGCCCCCTGAAGTGTAGACAACTCGTTCTTGGCATCGGGTTCCGCAGGAGGCAGCGGCTATCGACAGGCCGCTTGTGTGAATTGTGATATTGCTCGAACGCCTGAGTTCGAGCCAATCAGCGACTCTTTGCTGAGTTCGGTGGATTTCGCGGCGACGATGCCACCGGGAGCTATGAGATCGGCAGTCAGGCGCTCGCGGACATGGGGCGCACAGATTGCACTCACCTGGCGCTTGGGTTTCGACCTTCCTCGGCCTCATGCAAAGAGTTTTTTGATGATGTAGAAGCAGATTGCCAGCGTGCACTTCTCGTTTGATGGGTCGAACACTGAACGGGTCTGTGTGTCGGACACCGTGTGGGTGTTGGTGGTGCGGGGCTTGTTGTATGGCAGTCTGTCGGGCAAAGACTGCTGTTCCTCAAAATGCTCAGAAAACTTCTAGATTCTGGAGGTGCTATTTTCCTCAATTGTGCTTCTTCTGCAGAACTTCATGGTTCCGTCTGGTTGCGTCCGATCTTGCATTGACGTGAGAAGCCTTGAGCCCGAAGAAGGCCTGCGGTGGTCAGCATGCAACCTCCCTGAAGCAGCACTTTGACAACAGAAGTCTCATGGTGATTGTAGCTGGCAGTGTGGTCAAGCGTCCTGCCGCTTGACATTGTTGGGCCTGTGATGCAGGTTCAACAACGTGGAGCCCTCGGGCTTGTGGCACAAATCTGATCTCGTTGTGACATCCTCACAGATACGATCAAGTAGAGCACGACGCCAACTGAAAGATAAATTATGATGAACTGTTGTTGCTTCGTGCACCCACGCCGCCGTAGTGCCAAGGAGGTGTCTGTGGCAAATGCGGAGCGAGATGTGGTGTTATCCTAAGTTGGGGGTGAGTTGCTGGGCCGTTGGACCAAGTCAGAGCTGAAATGCAATTGGAAAAAACAGTGCCCTTCAGTTTTTTAGGCTGCTTCAGGTTTTGCCGGTAGCACGGTTGTGTAAGCAGATGTGAAGCAATTCGCGAAGGACTGGAGGGAACAATGCTGTGTTCATACAGCCTCGAAGTGCATGGTCCACTAGGCTTCAACGCAGGGAGTCGCCATGGAACACTAAGTCTCAATTCTCATGAGGTAAGCCCAATGATGTCGGAGATCATGCGCCAGTGCCCAAAACGGAGCTGCTGTTGGCGAGAGCATGAAGCGAGTCCAGGGTTGCTTGAGGGCGCGAAAGGCTTTGCTTTTCTGTGCATTCACTCTCGATTTAGCCGGAATCTGTACACTCGTAGTTTGCAGTTCATGTCGATGCTTCACCTGCGTGCAGAAGACTTTGGCATTTGCTGAGACAACTTGGACTACGATGATCCCTTCGCGCGAACCGGCATGCTGGGCTCCCGGATGCATATCACGGCTTCGGTTTTAAAGCCAAGTCTTCAACCGTCAATGGAGGGCTGCAAATGTGTTCGTTGCATTTGTATCGTATACATGCGGAAGCAGTAAGTTCCGGGTCTGGGCTGCAGGGCCCGGGGTCGGTTGAACTCAAGGGTGAGACAGCAGTAAGCAGCAGTTCAGAACAGCAGCCATGCCTTTAAGCCGAAGTTCTATCACTTGCAACTGCCCGCGGATTTCTCGACGGTCTCGAACTTGTAAATTCGAGGATATGCCCATCTGTTCAAGTGACTCTAGAAGACACTGCTGAGACGGATGATGTAAAAAGTTTTGGCAGCTCCTCGCCAGTCCAGGTCGCAGCTGCTTTAGCAACAGGATGAATGAGGAAGAGGTTGGGGGGGAGGCTGAGGAGGAGGAGGAGCAGGAGGCGGCAGGAGGCGGCAGGTGGCAGGGTGGTGGTCGTGCTTCAGTGATGGCGGCGGATTTCAGACTGCGAGCCTGCTTTCGGGGATTTATCACGTGGTTCTTGCTCAGGTCCATGATCTCCATGACCTCCGACGTCTCCATGCCAACTACGCCGCAGGCGCTTCATCCTTGTCCAGCAGAGTTCTCTGGCTTAGTCTGAGCTTGTCCAGTTGCAGGTACCGCACATCAACCCACTTTCTCCAGGGCATGCCACATCCGTGGCCAGCCTCACGCTGACAGAGGTGAATCTTGAGGGGATGTTTGTGGTGCTACCCCCCTCCGTACTGCTTGTACGAATGACAAAGCCAAAGATTCTCGCGGATTCCCCTGGCAGGGTGAAGGACAGCCAGGTGAAGCTGCAGCAGAGGCTGGACGTTTCATGTTGAGACAGTGAGAGCGAAGAGCGCCCAGTGCTCCCGAGCAGCTGGGAGTTACGAGTTCTACTCCGCTCGGCTTTGCAGTCGCAGGTGACGAACAACCTCGCGGATGCTGCTGCTGAGGCTGCTGGGAAACGTACGGTACAACGCACACCCTACAGTCGCCTTACATTGACAAACTTGCGCCGAGGTGGCCCAGCAAGAAACGCAAAGACTCCAAGCCGGTGCAGAGCAGGCACTCTCGCCCGTCGCATAGAGGCATCTTAGGCTGCTGAACTGCAGGCTCATGTTGACAGCGATGAAGCTGAACGTGAAGTAGACGCTGCCAAGGCCGAACGAACCCTATCTTGGACCTACTATGGCTCTGCGACCGCACAATCTCCTGGAGTTTGGTTTTTGAAAGGTGCTGGCAGTGGAGATGAACAAGCGACAAGCGGCCCTGGAGAAGGCCCCAGCAAGGCTTCGGAGTTGAGATGTGCAGAGCTGCAGAGCCTCCCAGCTTTGCAGGCGCTGCAAGAAGAAATGATGAAACGGCAAGTGCAAATGGAGAAGGCCCACTTCTTCCTCGATGTTCGTGGGCTGAGGATCGGACAATGATTGAGACGTATTGAGACCCAGGAGCTCGCAGAAAAGGCAGCACAGCGGCGAGCCCAAATAGAGAAGGACGGTGGCACAACTCCCGAGTCTTGACCCGTGCCTCCTGGCCTTGGCTTCGTCGCAGGCATTGGCGGAAGAGGCGCAGCGGAAGCAGGCGGCGCTGGAGCAGGCCCACAACGAGCCAAGTGGCTGGGTGGTGAGACTTGCTTTGTGGGGTTTTCGTTTCAATCGCAGGCTTGGGCCGAGGAGGAAAGACGCCTGCGGAGTCTTCAGGCCCAGAGAGCCGAAGAGGCGCGCCGATTGCGCTGCTCTGCAGCGGTGCCAACGCTACTTCCTGGGCCTTCGCCAGGCCGCAGCAGCTTCGGCCAAAGCCCAGGAGCAGGATCGTCGGATGTCACCCTAGGCAGCTCCGATGCGCTGTGTTTGCTGCACTGCGTCCGCGAGGAGGCGAAGCAGGCCTTGCATGAGGTCGGGCATAGCTTCGCTCACGGTGCTTACACATGCGATGCGGCACACCTGCCCCAGCCAAATGTCTGCGGGCTCGTTGTGAAGGCTTTGGTTCGCAGCGCACTGGTTGAGTCGCAAGCAGACACGAAGGCTGGGATAGTTAGCGGCATGCGGCACTGCTGCGACGGCAAAAGCTGTAGTGGGATTCGCATGGGCAAGGAAAAAGCCGACGCAAAGCAAGCTTTCAACGAGGCCTGCACCTTCAGCTCGCCGTCGGAAGCCTCAAGTTCGGCTAGATGGAGTGTTTGGACAGACATGGGCAGGCATTGGCATTGGCCATGATGGCCAAGGCTCCGATTGAGGCCGGGGACAAGGACACAGCTTCTCGGAATGGTCAGCCTATGAGCCAACTTTTGCCAGGTGCAAGCCAACGAGGGGGAAGAGGTCGAAGTCGACGTGCCCGAGGGATTGAAGGCGACCAACGCTTGCTAAACGGCGCTGTCCGGCAGGCTGCTAGCTCGCAGGGCTTGGCTGAGTCCGTCGCTTCAGCCGCAGTGGCGTTGGTTAGTCGGCCTAACTGGGTTGACCCCAGCGCCCTCGTCGAAAGTCGCCCGTGCTAACGCTTAGGCTTACTCCCAGCCCTCGGTCACAACTTGCGCAGTTTAGACGAGAGGCTGGGGACGTGTTCCACATTCTCTGGGAGGGTGAGGAATACGAGCTTGCTGGCACCTCAGCTTTCATACCTTTCACTCGCGGCCGCGCATTCAGTACATAAAAGCTCAGGTGTTGTCCGTGCGTTTAGGGTTTAAAAGAAAAAGGTTTGTGCCAGTCTGGGCCAGCTTAGGCCGTCCCAGATGGTGCCCGCCCTGGAGACCCCATGCGTGTCCGCCTCACCCACGAAGCTCACCAGGCGAAAGCTGAGACTATGCTTGGCCGATAAGCTCTTGAAGTCGAGACTGGCAGGAGAAGTTGAAAGTCGTCGTGCCGGAAGATTTCCAGCCAGGGGACTCTCTGAGGGTGGAGTGACTTGGTGAAAAAGTAGCTTTCTCCTGAGCTTTCTTTCCTGTGCCCCCCGCAATGATGAGGAAGGGCGGGAAGAAGTACGATGTCGTGGTGCCCGATGACATGAAACCAGGCGAAATGCTTGAAATCGCTGTGGAGGACCGCTGTGTGGCCTCCGATCATTGCGGGTTGAGTCGAAGAGTGGAGACTTGGAAGTGTGGTGGACCCGAAGCAGAGCTACAGAAAGGTTTCGCTCAGCAGCCGCGGTTGGCATGGGCATGCCGAGTTTCAAGTCAACACTTCCAGGAACAGGCCAGTCAGCCGAATCTCTCGGGCTTTGGCAGCGGCCTCGATTAGAATCTGCCCTCCTGAGCATAAGCAGATGGCTGACAGGTTTGTGTTGTTTTGCGTTATGGCCGTGTGCATAGCAGGCGTAGCGGCGTAGCATCTTTTGTCAAGTCCTGCCGTTGGGACCAACGTCTCAAATTCCGGACATTGGCACATCAGACCACCGGATGTTTGGACAAATCCTTCACATCTTGACATGCAAGCTTGTGGCAGCATTGTTGCATGCCCCTGCGCAAGCCGTGTCGTGACACAGGCAACTCGCAACCTTCTGTCATGCCGCCCACGACGACACAGCCGAGGAAAGAGGCGCGGCCGTGCGTTTGCAAAGACTTCAGGCCGCGACGATACATGACAGGGATAATGAATTCATAGGTTGATGAATGAATGCATAAAAAACATGTATAGTCTAGTGTAGATTGAAGATACACAAAACATATGCGCATATTCAAATTAATCTCAAATAAGCAAACAAAACAGAAACACGAATGAATACAAGTATGAGTTTACAAAGTAAAATGAATGATACATGTAAACTTATGGTAGTATACAACTAAGTAGATGCATAGTTTTTGGGAATGTACACACACACACACATATATATATATATATAGATACATACATGTGGAGAAGAAAAGAGCAGAGAAGAGACAAACGAAAAGGGAAGAGAAAGAGAGCGAGACGGAGAGAGAGAGAGAGAGAGATATAGAGGGATCGACCCCTACCCCCTGCAGAAAGAAAGAAAGAAAGAGAGAGATAGAGAGAGGGACAGAGAGAGAGAGGGGTAACATATTGGCACCCGCAACTGTCGGGGGCGCACATGCGCACGGGCGAGGGGGTAACCCCTAGCCCCTAAACCTGGCGAAAGAAAGACGGGGAACATATGGGGCCAATAGGCCGGGGGACCTCGACAGTCCCCTATGCCCTGTGGAAGAAGAGAACCCGTCGGAAGGAAGGAAGGAAGGAAGGAAGAGGGAGAGCGAGGGAGAAGAACTTGGTGTGTTAGGCTCGAAGTTGCTTGTAGTAGCTGAATGGTGTTTTGTTGTGGTCGTACTTCGCAGCACTGGCAAGAAACCACAAGTGGCAGTAGGGGCCAAAGGTTCAGGGTTGGGGTGGGAAGGTGCAGGCAGCTCTGCGCGAGGCTTCTGTTCGGGATAGGGTGGGGAAGCAGGTCAGGGGGTGCCGGAGTGGAGCTCCTTCAGCAAGCTGGAGACGGGCCCATAGGCATCACTTAGTGGTGCAGTAGAGTTGAAAACCGGGCCCAACCCAATATGCCAAGAAGGCATGGCCTCGCCTCCTGCGTAGCTGACCGCGGAGCAACAGTGGATGACCTGACTGCACCTTGCAGGTTTTACAAGGTTTGGGGGGACGGGTTCACAAGGTTAGTCAGGCGAACACATTGCTCACCCGCGGAAGGGGCTACTCCGACGCTTGGACCGCGCACCGTGAGGGGGTCGTACGAGACTCTACACCCCTAGCAAGGAAGCAAGCAAGCAAGAACGCGCAAGGGGCAGTAGCTGGACCGCTCACGCCCTGTAGAGAGAGCGAGAGAGGGAGATTCAACTGTTGCGGAACGGCCGCCCTCACCTACCAAAGCTTTCACACATGGACAACGACAACCAGGGCGCGCTCGGGCGCGGGAGGGGGCTGCTGCTTCCTCTCTGGCTTTGTGGAAGAAGATGGGAGACTGAGACGCTTAAACCTGCGGAAAGAAAGACTTGCAAGGTCCGACTCGACATCCCGAGTTCGCAGAATTCTCTGGGGGCCGCGAGCTGAGCAGAGTCGGCAGCAGAGAAATGCAACGGAGCAGGCTCTAGTGCTAGGAGTGTAGGAACCGTATGTGTACATGAGCATGAATGCGCAGCGAAGTAGACAACCCATGGATCAATGCATGAATGAAAAGAGAAAAATACCCAGGTACAGACAAACGTCAATTTTAATTTGTACTGATATGTTGTACAAATGCTTCTGTAACACTGCCCCGCGCACTTCTTATGCCATACAATGTCAATGTCCACCTGCATGACGAGGCAGCTTCGCCGATGGGCGGCCCTTACCTGTCCAACAAGACTTCGGAGCTCTTGATCAGATTGGATTTCCTTTGGAGCAGCTTGCAAAGGTTCACGGCGTTCACAGTTCTTGCGACTAGTTAGCTCCGGGTCTTGTTTTCATTCTCTATAGAGCTTAATCCGAAATCTTTCCAGCTCACGGGCGCCAGGTGCCTCCGCGCTTGGGCTTGGGCCGGCCGTGTCGCGGCAGAACTTGGCGGATGCCTTGCGAGAAAAACAAATCCTCTCCTGCAGCGCGAGTCTGAGGCTGGTGCGTCGAGTTCACAGCTCGGTCTAGGCACTCTCCCGCTTCTTTGGCGACAGTGCAGTCGTTGATAGTGGAAACGGATGCAGTGCAAGCGACTGTAGTGGAAGGTGCATCTTGAAGGGGGCTGGCGATAACTGCTTCTGATGCAAGCTTCACTGGGACTTGTCTCGACACCGACGTTTAGTTTAAGAGGTAGGCTCCGAGGGCTTCGAAGAGCTGGACTTCTTGTCACAGAGTCCAAATGAATTAGCTTCTACGGCTAGGTCCTTCAAGGACATTGGGCCCGAACAACGGCTCTCAGAGGCGCGATCGAATGCAACAGGGATTAAAATTATCGGGGTCTTTGCTTCAAGTCTTGAACCTCCAAGGCCGCCCGACATGACGATGAGCTCACTGCATTTCCGACCCGGCCTTGCTCCCCCGGGCTCACGCTGGACTCTTATCCTGGTTGTTGCGTGAAAATGCTGCTGTTCCTCAGAACAGAAGCATGCCCAGGTACGACGGGCCCAGGTGGCTATCCGGCTCTGAGTTCCTCAGCGTCCTCGCCATTGCTCGCCAATGCTGGTGTTCTTTGCTCAGTGGCCCACGCGGTGTGCTCGCTGCTAGCCGCTGCTTGCATACTGACTGACAAGGCTGCCACGCTGCCGGGCCGGCGTGGTCCGCAGTCCATGGCCGGAGCCTGGGGCAGAGCGACGATTCTGCAGTGTCATTTGTGCGCAGCCTGGGCAGCCCCGGAGATGCCGTCGCCGTAGACTTCGTAGACATCTGAGATGCGTCGAAGAGCCATTCCCGAGTGTCAGGCCATGGGCGGAATGCGGGCGCAAGGGCCAGGCCTGGGTTTGAGGGCGCACGACCGCCAGACCTCCGCTCCTCGCACTTTCGGCAGGTCTCATGACTCCGGACGGCTGTTTGCTTTGGGAGGTGGGGAAGAAGGGCTTGGTCGATTCCCATCACTTCGTAGCCACTCTGTGCCCCCAACCGGCAGGTGAAGCTTCAGAAATCAGGTCCGGACGATCGCAAGCCACCCAGCGGTTGCTCAAGAGTTTGGTCCTGCATGTACAAGAATCAAAACTACGGAATCTGTCGTGCTTCAACTCTAGTGGCAGGTGCTTCTAGACGCCAGTTCTGTCGCCGCTTCTTTCCGAGTCTGCTGACGATTTAGTGAAGTCTTATGCAGATGCCTTGTTGAATCATGCCAGTGTAAACATATGCGCTCCATCTTACTTTGCAGTAATCTCAGACAAAGCTTGAGATTCAGCTTGCCATGCAGCATGCTGTGCCATGTAGCCAGCCGCACGCGTGGACATGTTCTCGTTCCTGCCACGGCCCTTCGACAGTGCCTGCACAGAGATCATCAAGGCATGCAGTGCAGAAGGGTTGGAGGATGACGACGATGAGGCTGACGAGGAGCAGGCCCGGTTGGTATCGCATGAATCGTGCTGCATCCGCACATGAAGCTAGAAGCTGCGCTCCGTGGCAGGCCGGACAGGACCATGTCTTCACCTTCTATGACGAATTGTCTCCGGAGGAGCAGCGGGAGCTGGACGACCAGTTTGACCGAATCAATGCTCAGGACAGACTTACTGTGGGGACAGCCCTGGAGTTCTAGAGCCCAAGCATTTGAGATTATCGGGCATATTACAGCTGCAGGTAGGGGGAAGCCTCTCTCTCTGCCTCTCCCTCCCTCTGACTCCCTCTGACTCCCTCCACCTCCCGGCCCCTGCACCATACACATCTCGCTATCGGCAAAATCTAGGCAATTCGATAGGCGTCTATGCATAGGCTCCACCCATAGATTGGCCCGAGCCTCTGCTGAGATGCAGCCATCGACTGATGAAGGGGTGGAGTGAGAAGTATGACCAACCCAATACGGGGGCCGGGTTTAAGAATTCTGGTCAACTGGCATGTGCGATCAACTGCTATCGCCAAATGAGGAGGCTGGCATCGCTGTAATCAGAGGGCCACTTTGATGAGCAAATGTAGATAGTCGCCTTTTTGGTTTGCAACATGTGCTCAACCGCTGTCGCCTAATGAGGGGGCAGCTTTAAGACTTGATGTGATCCACCACCATGGCCGGCTGGCTAGGGGGCAGCGGTTTTTAGCAAGAAAGGTGATCAACGTCTATCGCCTCAATGAGGGGGTCGGTGGAAGAAATATGATCAGCTGCCATCGCCTCATGAGCGGGTGTGGTCAATCTGCTGGGTGGGCGAGCTTGAGACATGTGACCAAGGAGCCAGTGCAACAAACATGACCATCATGTCATGATGGTGGGAGGGTTTAAGAGCTTTGACGAATCGCCGACGCTGTAATTAATGAAGGGGTGGATTTCAGGGCCATGATCAACTGGCATCGCCTGAAAAGAGCGGCCGGCTTACGAAATGTGATCAGCTGCCATGCGCGAATGAATGAGGAGGTGGGTTTAAGGACTGGTTTAAGGAGGTGGGTTTAAGCAATGTGATCAATTGCCGTCGCCTAATGCGGGGCCCTGTGTAAGAACACTGATCGTTTAATTTGAGGAATATGAGAAAGCGCCATCGTGGAGGCAGCGGGTGCGGGAAATGTGATCATAAGGAGGGCGTTGTAAAAATGTGGTCAACCGTCATTGCCGAACGAGGGGGCGGGCTTAAGAAATGTGATCGAGCGGCATCGCCTGATGAGGAAGCGCATCGCACAAATGTGACCAACCGCAATCGCTGAATGAAGGGGCGGGCTTACGGACTATGTGACTATGTCCAATTGGCATGACCGCCATGAGGGGGCCAGTTTCGGAGTTGTGATCACCTGCCATCGCCGAATAAGGGGATGGGTTGAAGAAGTTTGATCAACTGGCATCACCTAACGAGCGGCCGAGCTTAAGACTTTCCTCCGCTTTGATCGTATGAATTTCGTCTCTGCGCCCTTTCATCCATAGGCCTCATCACGGTGACGGGTGTGCATGTATGTTTCGACACCATTCTCAAGAATCCAATCGAGCTCTCTCATGATTTCGGGCTCAAGTGCCAAAAGCACTAAACGCTCTAGGGCTTTGTGCATGAACACCATGCGATACAAGGTTTTAGGATCTGTCAGGCTTTACATTTACCGGCGACCGACACCATCCTGAAGCCGAGGCCCCTCCCTCCCTCCCTCCCTCCC